TGTCACCCTCACTGTCCGCTTCTTTGGAGCTCTGATGTTATCTACAACATCCGTCGAAGAGCTGCTAACCCCGCAGTCTTCGTCCAGTGACTAACGTACCACTCCACGCGCATCTATAGTACCGCGCCCAAGATGCCTCGGACTTTGTCCGACCACACCATCAATGGTACGCGGCGACTGCTTTGAAACTTGAGCAGCGCTCAGCCCTCGGTGCCTCAGCCCTTCACCAACCATTTCATGCTTGACATGCAGCGAAGGCTTCGAAACTTGAGCAGCGCCAAGTGGGTTACCTGCCACTCCACGATCAGCCCGCGAGCCACGCTCGAGACTCCTGTCCTATGCACCGTTGGTCTCTACCAACTCGGACATTCCAATGTCTAGCACGTTGACCATCTCGGTCCAGTGCTCTCGCCAATAGCGCTTTTGTCTCCTAGCAGAGATGGGTTGATGACTCGTCAAAGCTCCACCAGGAGACTTGCGCGTAGCGCCCAAGGTCTTTGACTTCCAATCAATTCATGGCTCATGTTGTTCCAACCATGCCATTCCTAGGATGAGTTCATATCTTGTATCTAAGTCTAAGACTAAACAGCATTTCACGCTATCAAAGTCAAGAAACTTGACTCCGAGGTCCACAGGGACCTTCGGGACCGTGTCACGTGTCCCCGTCGCTAGGCGAACAGTGACGATGTCACCCAACCGTGCTTTCAGCGCCTCGGTATACAGCTGACTTCCTTCCATCGTAGAGCGTCGAGCATAATTGCCCGACGACCCGGAATCGATGAGGATCTCTCATGGCTTCTCGAAGCCCTTTACGGTCGTCTCCACGACCAGCAAGCCCGGCTTGCACCCACGTTCCTTGTAACGAGCACGGAGCTCTTCGGGACTGGGCGCTGTTGACCTATGCCTCCCTGAGGCTCAACAGAACTCAGTTCTTCCTCAGTAGGTCGCCCCGCGCCTACTTAGTGTTGTCGCTTTTCCGCGATGAACCAGACTGATAGGCGTTGGGGCGATGGTTCGAAGAACCTTGACGCGCCTTGCGCTGGGGGCAACCGTTTTGAAGGTGACGGGTATCTCCGCAGACAAAACACCGTCGAATGTGTATGCTGTCCGGCAGCTCGGAGCTCTGCTCCCTCGTCCTCAGCATAGCTGAGATCCATGG